GAACATAGTCATCGAATGTACGGACGCTAACACCGATGGTGACAATCGTTGTTTCTTTGTCCAAGTTTTACAGTTGCAGCTTTAGCACTGCCTCATTGTGGTTTAGTCGATCACAGTTTATGCAATTCTGCTACTGTTTCCAGTCATTCTGACTACAAGGTAACTGCAGGTGGAGGAAGGGCTTGGCTTCACTTGTGGATACAGCTCAGGACTCAAGTTGTACTGTACATGTATGTCAAGGCTCTCTGTGACTCCAGTCCTTTCCACTGCCCTGAACTCACATTCAGCAATGGTACTATGTAATGTCTTCATAATCCATTTGTAACTGCTACACAGGACATTCTAATCTCATGCATACTGAAATGCTTCACCGGCACATGCCAAAATGACATAACATGCATACAGCTGTTTGTCACATGACATAGAGTGAACGTCACACGTGTTGTACCAAGTGCTATGAATGATGTTACAGCAAATGCTGGGACCTCCTGTGCACACATTATTTCATTATTTGCATTTCCCCATAAGCACACGATTATAATATCCTGCATAGTAGTTTTGAAAGGATTATGAAGACATTATGGAGCAACATTCAAATAATTAAACAAAAAAAGTCATTTAGGACATTTAGAATACATATGGACAAAAGCTAAGAAAAATTACAGAGCTATCCAAGGTCTCTGGAGAAAGTTTTGATTTTAGTATTGTTTCAGAAACCCAAAAATCAGCTCTACAATACTCGGTCCCATCTCTCCCTCTATCTCTGTCCTGTTGTCTGCACTGGGATGTATGCGGCATTTTACAGCATTGCTTTCATTTTGATTCATGAAAACATCAATTTCATCTTGTGGAGATAATGCTCTACTTTTACAGAGACCATCTTTTCAATCTTACATCAGCTACTTTTCCCCTTCTTGTAATTCTCCGTTCATCCAGCACCCTCTTATCAGTTCCTCTGAGCTTATCACCAGCTCCTCATTGTTTTTACGTTGCATTGTGCAATTCCTGTTCCAATTCATTTCCCAAACTTTTGCCGTCTCTTCTTAGACAATGAGTGAATACCAATTCAAACAGCTGGAGAGAATGTGAATGAGCTGACCAGTGCATCGTTTTGAACAGGCTTTTCTTCAGTTCTGGTCCGAACAGTTAGATTCTGATGGAGGAACTGTTTACTGTTTATTTACTTCACTGCTCTTGCATTATGGGTTTGATTCCAGACTAGGGTATATCCTGGGTGGATTTAGCATGCTCTCCCCATCACTGTCTTGGTTATCTCTGGTTTCCTCATATCTCCCAAGAACAAGCTGGCCAGGTTAGTTGGTGTCTCTGAATATTCCCGGCATGCTTGTGTGTGTGACTGCCCTGCGATGGACTGGTGTGCTGTCCAAGATAGAGTCCTGCCTTGCATCCTGTGCTTTTGGAATAGGCTTTCTCCATAAGAAATCAATGCATTGAAGCAAGGGCATGAAGCTAGCACTGCTCATGTTCTTGAGAATACCTGACCTCACTGATTTTTATATTCTTGTAACCCTTAAAGATGGGTGTCAACAATTTATTTTAGAGTTAGTTTAGGGGCCGACCTCAAAGACAAATATCTCTTCAGGGGTTTTGCCAAAAGGGATCAAAGTTGAACTTTTTTCTTATTTTTTCTTATTTTTTAAAGTTGTCCATTTCTGCTGTTAGCTGTTTAGCTGTGCAGAAGGAGCGATTTTTGTTCTATGTCTGGACCCAGAATGTCATTTCAGTAAAAGAACAGCAATGTCTTCCAGAAAAAAATCTTTGGTGAAGACGTGAAGGATTGGAACACACTCCTCGTGCAGTTCACCTTTCCTTGCTCTCTAATCTTAACAGTTAATTTGTGCTGTTTGTTGTCTCTTGTCTGGGTCTGATGCAAGTAGCATACTTTCTGCCAAGGAAAGAGATCAAGCCTGGGGTTTGTTTTCTGAGAGCACCTCTGCTAATTGTGTACCAGCACAGGGAGAACTAATTTAGCAATTAGAGATTTATTAGTTGAGCAAGGTATATTGCTGTGCAATTGTGGCTGCCCAGGCAGGGAATGCTTCAGTGCTTCTGATTAGCAAATGAAAAACAAGCTGAAAGCTTTTTCATTAGATGTCTGTTTTGGGGGGAAAACAGGTTGTCTTTGAGAGATGAGTTAGCAAAGACCTGCTAAAAGCTTGCCCTAGAATCTTCTTTCATCTGGAGAGGTAGGTGTGTGTGTGTGTGTGTGTGTGTGTTGTGTGTGAGACAGAGGGCGAGGGGTCAGCACTGCAGCCTGTCTTTGTTCTGACATTGAGGGAACAACTCTTGAATCACTGCAGCATGCCATACTCTGCCAAACATTTAAAAATACATAAAGCTTCCATTTCTCCCGTCTTATCATCCTTTCATATGCCCATCTTGGCTAAACAACATTGTTGATATCCACAGCACCTAATGTGAATTGAGGGTTTCTTCAATTACAGATTCAATTTTCTCCAAGGGAAAGATTATCCAGGGGAACTAATCCCAGTGATTCCCAATGGGCATTACCATTCCCTGCCCATTAGCTACCACTGCTCTTTATCTGTCTAAGAAGGGCAGTCTTCCAGATAGGCAGTGAGACAGCAACACAGACCGACTTGTTCACAATCGCCCACAATGCCTTTCTAGTCTAAGAAAGCCCAGAGAAGGCGTTTTGTCATACAATGATTGGCTTTTTCTGGTGCAGGTGTCACCATCCCGTGATCGTCCCTCATCCATCCTCCCATCTCGTCTTTCCGATTTACAACCTCTCTCCACTCAGAATATTTCCTGTCCCTTTAAGACACGCCCAGCCTTGCATGCTCCCCTCCAGGAGATGACCCAGACCTTACAGTCCAGGCACAGCATGATCCAGGCACAGCTTCAGCAAGACTTTCCTGCACCAGTGTTAATTTGCAGGAGACTGCGTTTTCAGGAGACCTAGAAGTAAAACCATTGAATTAGATCTGCATTCCAAAGGGAAAAATTCTGATGGTAATAAAAACGCAGTGTAAGGTAATATACAATACATTCTGTAACGGTGTGTTCCCACTAGTTCTTGCCCCCGTCTACAAATACTGATGATGAATACAAAACAAATGAACTTTTGGATCATTTTGGTTTTCCTCCCAGTCAGGGCAAAGACTAAGAGAAATGAAAACTGCAATATAAATATTCATTTGATGTTCTTCTTCCCCAACAGTTTGTGTGGGTCACTTTATTTTTTGATTCCATCGCCACACCACCATGAGGATTCTCTTTGCAACCCGTGTTTGAGCCTCAAGAAAACTGTCCATTTCAGGACACTGACTGGCTTTTCAGCAAATCAGGAAATTGGGGGGGAATTTAAAAAAAAACATAAAAGTTTTAGCTTGAACCCTTTTCAAATATGATGCTGAAGAAGCGTGTTCACACTGACGTTACAGCCTTTGAAATACAAGAATACCGTCTCCCTCTGCCCTGATTACTACACCATGCAATTCTGCTTTAAATGTATTCTTTAAGGTCAACCAGCATCTTAAAACTTCATGTTGGAGAGACAGAATCCACACAGCCAGAAAACCCTATGGATTTCTGTTCTTCAACTAAAACAAACCTGTTTTCCACATGAAAGTTTTAGAGGAAGCCCAGTTTGCGTATTCTAAGCTGACATTGTAGAGTCTGTCCACAACACTGCATTCGCCCAGGGGGCCACCCGTAAGTGTGCTTACTTCCATGCTGCTCAGATTTGCAGAGCGACACGACGGTGCTGAGGCCATTCTTTATTTCTGAATGGTGGAGGAAGGGGGCAAGTGCTCCTTTGCGTTTTCCACTAAAATGTCGTCATCACCTGTATCTGATCTCCAA